ATTTTGGGTTAGAAAAGTGGGGGTCGTCTTGTACATGGGGGCATCTTATTGTCGGAAAAATACGGTACTTTTTCAGCATTGTTGTAATTCTGAACGGTCGTTAAACAGGGCAGTCATTAAATGAGGAATACTTGTATACTGTTGGAGAAAGGTGCATACTGTGAGGTGTGAGCTAACCCTCAGCCTGAAAAATGAAAACAGAACAAAAATAAACATGAGGGGAGCAGAAGGGAAAACAGTGCAACCAGAAGTCGTGAATTATAAACAGGCTGCTGGTTGGGACCAGTCTAGACTTACTGGTGTTCTTGCTGGGCAGAGGTGATGCAGCTACCTAGAGCCTCATAAATGACTGCTGTGGCAGAGGCCAGAATGATTTTTTACTTGCTTCTGCAGTTCTTAAGGCAAAGAAAGGTGAGAGCAGAAGTGTTTTCTTGCAGCGAGCTAGGTTCTCTGCAGCTCTTTTTTTTCCCCTTGTGCTGTTCTTCCTGCGATTAAAGGGGGAAACCTCCTGGTGGTTTTCTGGACAGTGCAAAAATCTCTCTATTTCTCCGTCTGTTGCTGGGGAAAGATGAATGTGGTGGTCCGAGCAGGGAATTTAGCTTTTTGAGGAATATCTTACTTGTCCTTAAAATAATTCAAATCCAAAAGTAACAAGAAGCTTGGCCCAATCCAATGCCAAATACTGTCAGTTGATTTTAATGGTTTTTAATTTATCTGGCTTTAATTTTAGTTTTATGTTTTGTTATGGTATAACATATAGAACTCCTACATAAATACAGTACAAATGAATTCTATTTTTATGTATTATATATGTGTTCTCCTGGCTTATAATACGTAGACTCTTTGTCTAAAACAAGCAGGATTTGAGATACGGAAACTACAGTGTATCAGATTTTTAGCATAATGTATTTTTTCTGTTGTAGAAAAAGGTCTTGGAGAATTGCACATCGCCATTGGAGGCATGCTAGGTGACAACAGCAGTGTACTAACTACAACTGGGATCATCCAGTGAAAGAAGAGAACTCATTAATGACTGTGTCCATCCAAGAAGAGAACCTCAGACTGGAGGATCAAGCTTTGGGCCCATAGGGTGGCATAACAGAGTCTGAGCCAAGACTGCAGCCACTCTATGATTTATGTGCAGTGTTACACATCTCAGTTGGAATTCAGAAATTGCTAGCACTTTGGAATTTTTTTAATAGGAAGAATGAGGAACTTCAACTCAACAAATAAAGATACAAACAAACAGCTGAAAATCATATCTTCTTTCAGCACTCTAGGAAAAACTTGTAAAACCAGTGTGGATTAAATACTTCTATGACTGTGGTTTATAACTTGAGTGCCTCTAACATATTTCTGAAATTATATTATTAATTGGTGATATTATTAATGGGACACTATTCTTCAAAGTTGCACTGGGTATGGCAAATCGTTTCCAGCTATATCCTGTAATCTGTAACATTCAGTTCAGTAAAAACTGAAATGTTAGGTGCCTTTCTTTCACAAAGTTTGGATAAAGCCAGATTACTCGCCCATGTGTAGATCAGTTTACATATCTGATACATTTGAAGCACTTTTCCACTTGCCACTCCATTTTTTTGTATAATCATTATCATCTACTTGTAGAGTTCTGATGTGTCCTGGCTATCTATCTGGCTGCTCAGTTGGCAAGAACCTGCATGCACCAGCAAGACATTGATTAAGTGTCATCAAGTAAGTGTTGACTCTTGGTGTCCACATAGATAGGCTTTCTTCAAGCAGATCTGTCTTCAGTCTGGCCTTTTATGTCTCCCAATGGTGCATTCATTGCCGTTATAATCAAGTCCATTCAGCTTTTTATTTTATTTATATTTCGAATTTAGATACCGCCCATCTCACGAGGGTGGTATCTAAACTCTTGCTGTTGCCTGTCCTCTTCTTTTTCCTTCTGTTTTTCCCAGCATCAAGGACTTCTCAAGGGAGCTGGGTCTTCACATAAATATGTCTAAAATACTATCATTTGAGCCTGACCATTCATACCTTGAGTGAGAATCTTGGATTGATTTGTACTACAGTCTGTTTGTTTGTTTTCTTGACTAGCCACCCACGGTATTCTCAGGAGTCTTTTCCAACAACAAAGTTCAAAAGCGTCAATACTGTTTCTATTTTGCTTCTTCAAAGCCCAACCTTCATATCCATAGAGGGTTACAGGGAAAGCCACTGCTTGTACAGTTCTGATACAGACATATCATGGCATCCAAGCATCTTTTCCAAGGCCTTCACTGCTACCCTATCAAGTCCTAGTATGCGATCTGTTGACTGCTGGTTCCTTTACTGTAGATCGTCCTAAAAGACAGATACTATCCACCATTTCATTGTCTTCATTATCAATTCTAAGGCTGCTTGTTGTACCTGTTGTCATTGGCTTGATTTTCTTTAATTGCCATCTCATTTTTTTTTCACTGTGCTCTTTGGCTCAATACTAGAGCTTGTGGATCATTTGCATTTTCCACTATCAAGGTACCATCATCAGTATACTACAGGTTATTGATGTCTGCTAGTTTTTTTCTCAGATGAATGAGTTCTGTGGTTATAGATTTGGCTTCCTCCCTTGACGTATGCTTAGGCTCTTTGCTCTTGGCATGGCTGGCAGATTTACTGCATTTGGAGCATAGGTTTTTATGGCTCTTATCTGCAGGGTCATGACCATTTATCACTTTCCCAGTGATGAGGTCACAGACTAACACATCCTTAAAAACTCTTGACAGTTTGGATGTAATGAGTCTGCCATAGGAATTTGTTCATTTGTGTGAGTCTGGTGGGGAGAAATGGCTGATTGGAACTCAGGAGTATGTGTTTAATATTTCTTGGGCTGGGTAAGTAGTGAAAGTCTTTCAAATCAATTATTTTATTTTGGCAGTTTAGGAGCTGAGATAGGGAGGTCATAATAGTCTTGCGGTGGTTCCATCTGTGGGCATTCCAATGGATTTCTAGGAGGAATTGCTTTTTTTGCAGCACAAGGCAGTAGTTAGCTGTGCCAACTGCTTCTGGATGCCCTGTTGACATTGTAGGACAGGCTGCTGGAATGCCAAGGTGGCCAACTTCTGCTGGCATTTTAAACCCTTGATTGCCATGGAGGATTTGCAGATCAAGGGCTTGTTGGAAACTGTCCGCCTTGACTGCAATGTCATTTAGCAGAGTTTCTGCAGATAAAAGGCAGACCTCATGGAAAGGTTGGGTAATATAGTTGTGGGGGGTGCAGGAAACTTGTTACAGGAGCAGACTCATTATATCCAAACTGTCAGAGTCTTTAAGGACATGTTAGTCTGTGACCTTATCACTGGGAAAGTGATACTCATAACCCTGCAGATAAGAGCCATAAAAACCTATGCTCCAAATGTAGTAAATCTGCCAGCCATGCCAAGAGTGAAGAGCCTAAGCACACTTCAAGGGAGGAAGCTAAATCTATAAACACAGAACTCATTCATCTGAGAAAAAAACTAGCAGACATCAAAAGAATTCTGACATACCCTCCCGGTATGGTAGTGATATGGAAGTCCAATACCAACTTAATACATGTGCCCTATTGAACTGATCTTCTTCTAAATCATCTCACACCGCTGCCTCTCCTCTGACTTGGACACGCAGAAAGCTGTCAGCACTCTACTCTGACTTCCTCACCAATAACAGTGAAAGTGACACTGACAATGACGCCTCTGAGAGCTCCACACCAACAATACTCAAGGATCCCATGCAACCCCAAGCAGCTGACACCCAAAAGAAAATGCCTTGTAAACAAAACAAACCTCAGCCAAGCACTACAGGAACCCAAACTGGAAGTATACCCTCATCTGCTTCCAAATCTGAGGGTCCTCCCCTGGCCCTGCAGGAACCTGACTCACAGGAGAAACAGCTCCCCTCACCTCTTCTTTTACTGGACAACCCCTGCTAAAGAGTTGGGATCCCTGCTTGCCAGTGATCCACATTTTGCTACCCATGCTCCACTGATTCTTCTGGTCTCCTTGCCAGAACTACAAGCTCCCCTGCCCTCTCACGAGAAGAGAGGCTTGATGAACAAGCAGATGGCAGAGAAGGCTGAGCAGGAACTTGATAGTACCCCATCTTCCTCGCCACAGAGGGAGACACAATTACAACCATCTCAACCAACAGCTAATATGAAGCTACTGCCCCTGCCAAAATTTCCCACCCAGCCCCTGGTTTGCAGTACAACTGTTTGACATCCAAGTGACCAGCATAAGGTCACCCTTCTAACCTGGAATGTGGCTGGATGGTTTCCATCCACCAAAGATCCTTGTTTTACTGGATTTGTCTCCCTCCATGACATCATATTGATTCAGGAAATATGGACTGCTGACAAAATGCTATTAAATGAATTTCATTCATTCTCAATTGGGGCAGAATCTGGGGTAAAGCATGGAAGAGCGAAGGGGGGGCTGGGGGGTTCTAGTCACTACACTACATGCCATATCAAGCCTCTCACCCCATTCAAGTCATATGCCATGGCAGTGTTAATCCAATTCAATCATCATGCCCTGTTGATAATAAATGCTTATATATCCCCAATGAGGCAGAAACCCCAGATCTGAGCCTTGTGGGCTGAACTAGAAGCTTATGCTTCTGACCTTATACTGCTTAATTCAAATGCATTTGTAATCCTGGGAGGGAACCTCAATGCTAGATTGGGCCGCAATGACCACACCCTCTATGCATAACACAAATGTCCCCCTCCCAATCCTGAAGGCGATGGATTCCTCCTCACCTGTTGCTCAAAAGATCAGAAATCCAACTTTGCAGGCCTCTGCCAGGCTCAAACAGCCTTCAGGCTAAACCTCCACATTTTAAATGGTGCCCTTGAAAGTGACCATCCAGCTGAATTCACCTACCTGTCTGGCTCCAGAATAAATGCTGTTGACTATGTAATTGTCTCTAGGAACCTTCTCCCGTATGCCAAGGCCCTAGAAGTTATGCCTAAGTTTGACAGCAATCATTTCCCAATCCTGCTCCAGATAAATGTCTTCACTCAAGAAACACATACTGAGGACTGCTACCAACTCTTTCTAACGCCAGGAGGAACAACTTACTGCTGAGCCAAGCAGATCTCCTGTCTAAATCAAATGATAACTGAGCTACTGGCCTTAGATCACCTACAGTGCCTTCAGTCTGCCCTGACATCAGTTGAGTCTCCTGATGCCCTCTTGGAGAACTATAACACTCTTACCCAAGAGCTACATCAGCATCTAACCCATAATAACAGTGCACCCTTGAGGCAACAATAGCACCACTCCAAGCCATGGTTTGACAAAAACTGTGTTAATGCCAAAAAAGTTCTTGCTACCACTTACTAGGCTTATGTATCCAATACTACTCCAACAGCTGCAGTGGACCTCCTCCAGCAGAAGAGATACTACAGATAACTGCTGGCACTCAAGAAAAAGGAAGCCATGAAAAACAACTGCATACAACTCATTCAGGCAGTCAAATCCAATGACTCAGCCACTTTCTGGCATATCACATCACGCACCCAAAGCAATGGTCCATCCATGATGGACTGTCACATCCCCCCAGGGAACTGGGAGGCATACTTTCAGGAACTCTACATGGACACCTCTGTTGGAAGTGGATGCTCTAGCCAAACTATAGAAAATCTGCCGATGTGGCACCAGTGACAGTGATCAAGAATCTTGTTGCTCAGCTAAGACCAGGGAAGGCCCCAGGAGAAGAACTGATCCCTCCAGAGGCCATTAAAAACAACTTGGGCTTTTGGGCCCCCATTCTGGCCTCACTCTTTACCTGCATCAACACCTATAGCCGAGTCCCCAAGGATTGGAGGCTTGCAATCATTGTCTCTGTATATAAAAAAGGGGAAAAGTCTGATCCTGCTAATTATAGACCAATCAGTCTCCTCAACACAATCAGCAAACTCTATGCAAGACACCTACAATGGAAATTCCAGGACTGGCTGGAACAAGAAAACATACTTGCAGAGGAGCAACCCAGCCTTAGAGAAGGCTGATCCACCATTGCCTAGTACTCCAACATCTCATTAAAAATACTCCTCCTGCAACACAACCTCCCTTTGTATTGCTTTTACAGGCTTCAAAGCAGTTTTTGATTCCATATCCCAACCTAAACTATGAAAAAAACTGGAGGCCTCCTCAGCTGACCAACAGTTACTTATGCTTCATGAAGGGACCTCACTCAAAGTAAGATGTAACCCCCAGGGCCATCTCACCAGTGCCACTGGAACTGAGAAAGGCATCAAGCAAGGCTGCATATTGGCCCCATTCTTATTCAGTTTCTATATCAACTCCCTGGTGGGCCATCTCAACACAAA